TATATATATATATATATATATATATATATATATATATATATATATATATATATATATATATAAAGAAAAAAGGGTTTAGTGTGTTTAGGGTTTAGGGTTTAGGTGTGTATTGACGCTGCATGAATAATTTTTTTTGTCCTTTTCTGCTGCTTCTGCTGCTGTTGCTGCTGCTTCTGCTCCATCTACTGCTGCTGCTGCTGCTGCTGCTGCTGCTGCTGCTGCTGCTGCTGCTGCTGCTGCAGGGTGCTGCAGGCAACAAGCAGCAGAAACAAGCAGCAGGCTGGGGTGTATATACACGGTCTCTCTCTCGAGGGTGGTTACTGGGACTATGAGTTAGGGGTGCTTACAGACAAGGCCCCATCAGCAGCAGCAGCAGCAGCAGCAACAGCAGCAGCAGCAGCAGCAGCAGGAGGGGAAGAAGCAGCAGCAGCAGCAGGAGGAGCAGCAGCAGCAGCAGCAACAGCTCTTGCTCAGCAGTTTCCCGTGCTGCTGCTGCAGCCACAAATCGCAGACAAAGATATCTCAATAGATGCAGACATGGAAAACGAAGCAGCAACAGCAGCAGCAGCAGCAGCAGCTGCTGCTGCTGCTGCAGCAGAAGGCCAGCAAGACCAGCAGCAGCAGCAGCAGCAGCAGCAGCAGCGGCAGCTGTATGTGTGCCCCCTCTATGCAACCCCAGAAAGAAACGGCCAGGGTCAGACCATCCACACACTTCTACTCTTTTTGCTTCACTGCAGCAACAGCAGCAGCAGCAGCAGCAGCAGCAGCAGCAGCAGCACCGCAGCACTAGTAGTAGTAGTAGCAGCAGCAGCAGCAGCAGCAGCAACAGTTTCGTTTTTGCTTCTTTCGTTGCTCCTCCCTGGGTCTGCTTGTTAAACATTTCCAGCATATTCTTGTTGCTGCTGCTGCTGCTGCTGTTGCTGCTGCTGCTGCTCTTGCTGCTGGTGTGGCTGCTGCTGTTGCTGCTGCTGTTACGCGGCTGCTGCTGCTGCTGTTGCTGTTGCTGATGGTGCTTGATCTATACTGTTTCGTTGCTGCTCTTGCTGCTGCTGATGCTCCTACTCTTTCTGCTGCTGCTGCTGCTGTTCCTACTACTGTTACTCTGGCTGCTACTGCTGCTATTGCTGCTGCTGCTGCTGCTGCTGCTGTTGCTGCTGCTGCTGCTGCTGCTGTTCCTATTACTGTTACTCCTGCTGCTTATGCTTCTATTGCTGCTATTTCTGCTGCTGCTGCTGCTGTTGTTGCTGCCATTTCTGCTGCTGCTGCTGCTTCTGGTATTTCTGCTATTGCTGCTATTGCTCCTGCTGCTGCTGCTGCTGCTGCTGCTGCTGCTGCTGCAGATGGTTGTATAGCTTCGGTGCCTTTGCCTGTGCTGGAGTCTCCTTCTAAGTGGGTGCTGCAAGGAACGGCTCTGCTGCTTGAGCCTAGAGAATAAAAAATAAATAAATTCTTGCTGCTGCTGCTGCTGCTGCTGCTGCTGCTGCTGCTGCTGCTGGTGAAGCAGCAGCAGCAGCTGCTGCAGCAGCAACCGCTGCTGCAGTAACTGCTGCAACAAAAATCGTTGCTGCAGTTGCTGCTGTTGCAGCAGCTCGAGAAGCAACTGCGGCAGCAGGTACACCTGCTGCTGTTGCTGCTGCTGCAGCAGCAGCTGCTGCTGCAGCTGC